CGTATTACCGGTTTCAAGGACTTATCTTGTGTTTGCACCGCCTAATGCCAGTTTGCATTCCTCTGTGTAACTTCAACATTGCACAGATGCCTGTATACACTGATGTAACATAGGTGGTTTTCCAAATTTTTGCTGTCAGTGAGTTTTGAACTCCCAACCTACCACTTGGGGGGTTGACAACTTATCCACTTTACTAAGTTGCCACACCCCTATTACTATTGTTAATATCATCACTACTATTATTATTAATATTATTGATAATACTATTACTATAATTGTTAATATTATTAATATCACTACTAATATTATTACTATTATTGTTAATATTATTACAAATGTCATTATTATTATTATCACAATTACTATTATAATTATTACTACTATTATTATTATTACTTATGTAACATTATTATCTCTTAATTTTATATTTGTTGCTATATGTATATTTTTTTCAAACTGGTCTTGATAAAAATTTGTATAAAAACTAAGTGATTGATGTTTTTTATTTAATGCAAGATAGATATAATGATATTGTTTATTAACAGATATGATGAGTATTTAATTTAATCTATATATATTAAAAGTTTTTGCTACAGAAGTCTGATACTTACACAATGTTTACATTGAATTGCATTTACAAATACTAAGTTTTATGTCAACAAAAACTATAGATTTTTACTTCTACTATTTCTATATTTAAAAACTTTCAAATCTTCATTCACAATTTTTATATCATTTTTTGTTCCAATTTGCTATTTGAAAAGTTTGAACTAAAGTGAAATATAGCTATCCAAGTTATTATAGTCCATTATTAAAAGCTTACAAACATAATAAAGATCCATTATATTAATAACAAATTGGTAAAGTTGTACTACATTATATGTTTGCATATATTTAAAAACAATATTTTTTAAAACTCTAACTTTAGTCTCTACAAAATTATTAGTATTGTTATTACAAATTAGTAGTTTTTAGCAGAAGGTAATAGCTTATTTATAATAATAATTCTAAAAAACTTTAAAATAATCTTGAAAGTTTGGATATTTTGAATAAATTTGACATGTGATTAAATCATTATAAATTAAATTAAGTGTTATTTTTGTTTTAGTAATAACTATTTTTTTTATATATTCAATTAAAGTTATATGATTATTGTTATGAATATAGTGTTTGCTGTCTTAAATCTATTATTATATTGCTTGCATAAAATGAAAAATACAAAGAAATAAGGTTGCATTATTCTAGATATTAATATAATATTTTTTTTTAGCTTTATAGTTATCTGTTATTATCACCTGTAGTCCAATAGTTGCCCTATGTTTACCAAATTTGGTTGATGAAATCAGACTTCTTAATATATTTAGAGCTTTTGTAAAAGTATTTGCTAATTCATCTGAAGCAATAATTACACCAAAAGGCAAACTACTAGCAAATGTGCTTGTTAAAAGAATTGTAAGAGAAGTATTAAGAATATCCAATCCAGCTGTTCTGTCTATATAAACTAACTCATCTGCTTTTTGTAATATATGACAATACATCATAAGATTTGTTACAATAACAAGAATGAAGGGCTACATAGAATCATCTTTTTCTAAAACAATATAAGTTTGCATTTATATGTGTCCTTTATTAAAATTATTAAATTCTGTAATCTTTTTTCTAAACAATTGAATATATTTTTTTCATTTTGAGCATCTAGACATTGATCATGATGTTTTTTATAAAGATAAAAAACATTATTTTTATATAAAACAAAGGCTCTATCAGCTAAAATCTCTTTATCATTATTATACTTTAGTTGTAGTTGTTTCTAATATATATAGTATGTGCTAATAGAATTATGTTTACTTTTAAAAAACTTGAAGAGTTCATTTGTTGTTTCATCTAATATTAGACAGAAACTTATCATGTAACTAGATTTAAGAAGGTGATTATAGTGAAAATATAAAAAGATAATACACAAATATGAATCATTTTATTTAAGTAGCTAAATACTTAGTGTTGCTAGGTAATCAGTATCTTATATTCATGTTTTTTCTATATAGGTTTTACTATCTCTATGTTTTTCTTGTTTTAATTTTACTGTATAGCTATGAATGTAGTAAAATCATTTAGATAAAATATAAGGTATATCTTTAATGATATGACTACTGGTTTTTTACATTGTTATTTTATGCAAATTTATAAATTGCTGAACCATTCTTAAGATTTCTCAATTGTTAAAATGTTTATACTATATTTAATTTTAAAAGGTGTCTTATAAGCTTCTAAAAAGTCATGAGATTGAATTTGTTCAAAAGAATTTATAAGATATTTGTAATTATGAGGCAAGGCATTTAAAGTTTTATATTTTTAGAGTAAGAAATATTATTTAACATTAATTCTATAATAATTAGATAAGTTTTCATTTACTATCTTGGATAATGTTGTAATTAAATCTGAAAAATCAAGTATTTATATTAGATTTTATAAGAAAAATTACAAAATCAACAATGTAAGGTTTTAGATACTTATCTATTGCAAGAAAAATATTTATTAATAAACAGAATTTTTAATTATAAGTCAATGATATAAAGTTTAGATACTTATTTATTGCAAGAAAAATATTTATTAATAAACAGAATTTTTAATTATGAGTCAATAATATAAAATTTCAAATACTTATCTTAAGACTCACTTATATTATTATTAGTGTTTTACATATTAATGCAAACCTGGATCTGTAAAACAAGTGTAATTATCTGATAGCTTACTATGATTAGACTTTTAAAATAATTCGAGTTATTTTGATAGTAATTAATTATCATTAAAACAACTTGAGTCATTTTGATGATCCAGTCATTATAAGTTATTAGATAATACCATTATTGAATGCTATGCATTAATAACTTACTTATCTGGCTTTAAATTTAATATATCATTTTTGTGTTTTTATAAGGCCCAGAAGCTGACACATTAAATTTAAACCAGATAATAAAGTATTTTATAAATAACTTTTGTTATTAAATGTTTTATATTTAGTAACTATATAGTATTAATAATTTGTTAGATTATAAGATTATTAACTTAATGTTTTAGATACTTATCTCAATTCTACTGATGTTATAATTAAAGCTCTATATAGATTAAAAAAAATAGATCTGCAAAAAAAATTGTTATTAACAAGATGATTTGCTAACTTATACAATCAATAATATAAGATTTTAGTATTTAATATATAATATTTCACAATAGATATTTATAATTAAAACTATAGCAAAAATCATTAATATTATATATATTAAAACTAGTGAAAGATTATATCTATTACAATTGAATCTAATATAAATAGTTTAATTTTTGATTGATCACAAATAAGAGTAATTCATTTTGGATCAAATACTGTCTTTGCTGTTAGGTTGAAATTAAATAAGATTGTTTAAAATTCAGATAATTAAACAATATTAGCATAACTATTAATATTTATTTAACAATTGCCATACTAACTGATTTATTTATATTCTTAAAATATTATGATTTCTTGTAAATACCTGTTGTGAAATATTATTAACAAATTAATGAAAATCTAAATATAGATACTTTTAGTAATATGAAATTACTGATATGAAGCTTTAAATGTTAATAATAAACAATTTGATACAATTCATTTTAATAGTTATTGTATTCTTTTTTTTAAAAAAAAAATTGTTTACTAATTTTTTGATACTTTATATAAGTTCTTAACTATATATTTCAGTATCATTTATTAAATAAAATTTATAGATTTTTATTTGCATTATTAGTGCATTGTAATTATTAATTGGTAACTCAAATATACTAAAACAATCTTTTTTTATTATATATAGAATTTGACTTCTTAATAAGTCTTAGTATACACTATATGATAGATAATATTATAATATATAAAGCAGCTTAATTTATTTAATTTTTAAAATATGTTTATATCTTAATTAATTTATTGATTATGATCTTGTTTTTGACATCTGTTATGATAGATATTTAAGAGGTTTGTATTCAACTAATTCTAGATATTAATTGTTATATATTAAATATAAATAAGTATAAGTTTTTTTTATTAAATAGTTAACAACAAATAAAAATTACTTTGGATAACAAAAATACTTTATGATTAAATACTTGTATTTTAAGAATTAGTTTTATTTTCGATAATTTTTGGCTTAATTAAATGTTAATATTCAAAGTATTAATTTAAATCCAAAACTATTAATCAAAGATTTATCTAAGAATATTGGTATTATTTGATAATGCATTCATTGTAAAACCAAAAAATAAAATAGCAATCTTATAATACTGATATCTTAAGAATAATTAAACCTTATTGTTAATTTTTAAGTTAAATTAATACTTATATTATAGATTTTATTTAAGTCTTAAATTATTGAAAATGATTTAGTTCTTTCTAAATTATATAAAATTCTAGATATTTTTGTTATTTACTATATACTCTTATTTTAGTATTTTATATATTATATATAAGAAATTTAGTTATTATATAAATACAGATATATATAGTATACAATATACTATAGAAATCTAATTTTCATATAGTTATACATAAAAAAATTCTGTATAAATTGTATTAAGCTTAAAAAAAACAAACCTAATAGTATAAATAATAGTTATTTTTTAAGTCTTTAAAAATATATATATATATATAATAAAATAAGACATTGTAAGCTTTAAAATACAAATAATAATAATAATAATAATAAGATAAAATAAAAATAAATTTTTTTATAAGCTTTTAACTATATAAAAAAATAAATTAAGATAAAAAATAAGTTGTCTTTTAAATATATAAAAAAAATATATTATAAAATATTATAAATTATTTTGAATAAAAAATTAAGCATCACATTTATTATAATCAACTCTTTCTGATGATTACTTGAACCAAACTTTTTAAAAAGCTGAACTACAGAAAAATAATATAGTTAATATATTGAACTTTATAAAAATCTTTCTAAAATACTGTACATATATTGTTAAATATTAAAATAAAGTTAAAAAAAAGTCACAACCTTTTGGTAATAGTTTAAAGAGCATTCTGAGACTATAGAAGAAGAGTTAATGAAAGCCAAGGTTTCTCATTAAGTAAACAACAAAGTTAGATATATTAATTTTATATAACTGTAAAACATACAAGAAACACTCACAAGGGTTCAGAACTTACAAAAGCTAAAAGTTGGTTTATTTAGCACTTTCACTTTTTTTTGAGAAAAATTTTGTAAAAGTAGGTAATTCAGTTTACTTCTTTCTAAAGATTAATATGTAAAATTACCAAAACAGTTAGCAATGTTTATTTTCTAAATAGGATTGTTAACAATATGGATCAGAAATAATACAATAATACAAATATGACTATACATATGCCTCAAGCTGCTAGAAATCTGTTAAACATTGTTTTTTTCTTTTTTTTGGTTTTTTGTTTAAATAATCTAAGTAAATAAGAAAATAGTAGAGTAATTTCTATTTAATATAGTTTATAATTTTTACAAGTCTGATACAGACTTATAATTGTAGTTGTCTGATATTTGTAAATTGCAAGTTTCATGCTTGACATAGACTTAAAATTATGATTGTCTGATTTTTTGTGAATTGCAAGTTTTACACTTTTCTTTTTCTTGTTTATCTCCTTTTACTCTTTTATTTCTTGTTTTATATCTTTTATCATTTACCTTTATACTTCTGTTTTATTTATATATAAAATCTTTTTTTGTTTTTTTGCTTTCCTACAAGAAGATATTATTAAATTAATGGTATCCTATTGTAGGGCAGCAGTCAGATAAGCAGCCTACTTTTGTTTGAAATAATGCAACAGGTCACACTTAGGTACCAATAAGGTGGCCAGTGATGCTAGACTTAAGTATTAGAAAAATTCTCTGTAAACTGTATAGTTTTAAGAATTATAATAAAGTACTAGTGTGACTGCTTAAGTTAAATAAAAAATAAAAAATTAAGCATTACAAACATTAGATGTTACATATAATTATGCAAAATTGATATTATATATAAATTATGCATAATGATTAGCAAACATGAAGATCAAAAAAATACAGTAACTGAAAATAGAATGTGTATAGGATAGGTTCAAATAAACAAAACATAAGGATGGCTAGAAGAAAAAATAGCAATAAGACTAGAAGAATAGCAAACATCAATGATAGCTAAGCTAGTAGCAATATGGATAGCAATATTAAAAATACCAAAGAGAAAGCAAATGAAAATATATATAGATAGTAATATAGCAATAAGAAATATTAATAGCGGTTTAAAACAAACAGATAAAAACAAGATGCTTAATGAAAAGAAACAAAAGCAATTAAAAAATTAGAACTAGAATTAGAAGTTACGATTTATGATTGGACATATTTTTGAAAAAGACTAAAAATGATAAAAAAGATGCATTGTACAACAAGAAGAATTAGTATCAGAAGAAGTGCATTTATAAAATGCATAATAGACAAACTTCAAACTCTAGAAAAACTTAACAAAAAAAGACCAAATATTTATATAA